AAAGATCATCCATCAATGCGACCAAAGCGGTTTCCGTGCTGTAACCGGGTCTGAAGCCTGACTGGAAGGGGTCTAGATATAGTTTGTGACCTATAATTGTCAGTAACAGCAGCAATAGCCATGAAACGTGCCACCTAAGCTACAAGGGCTTCTGGGCAGCTCTTTCTAAGCCCAGCTCTGGTTCTAAGAAACTGTCACAGCATAAGAGAATTCCTGGAATTGGCCATGGAGGTACAATTCTGTTTACTTCTGCAGCTTAGTTAAATAATTGTAATAGAATTGCATCATTTTCTGGAACAAATCTGATTGATCAAAAAGAAGGCATTCATCTAAATTAGTTAGTCATTCCCAATCTGAGAATTATAACTCCATGAATTCTTAGCTGGCAGAGCCATTAATTGGGAATTCTGGAAATCTGCATCTCAACACTTCTAGAAGGTACCAGATTGGGAAATGTTGCTTGCGCTCCCACAAGTGGAAGACATTGCCTATTGCAACAATTTTCTATGTGGTAGATGTTTGCTCTACTGCCCCTCTTGTCGAACCATAATTCTTCCCATGAGCAAACCCATTACATGCAGATATCCTTCCTATCTGGAAAATAGAATTTTCTAATGGGAGAAAAAAGTCCATGCCATTTCCTTACAAAAGCTTTGGGGAAGCTACAACTGGTAGCTGTGGTTTGCCACCGTTTATTCTGGGATATTGTCCAGTGATGCGATATCATCCTAGTCCCAGCCATCCTCTGCCTTTAAAAGGGAAACAGTGATTTACAGTGTTTTGTTTCTGGTATCAGGGAAACCTGGTCTATTCATTATGGGACAGAGCATATTACTTCTGCTTTCACTTTTCATCCTCAACCCAGGAGCCTTGGCAGGCAGTCGCTTTTGTGACAAACTATTTTTGTGTTGAATTTATGTTAACATAAATGCCAACATTTTTAACATAAATTCAACACAAAAAAAGTGATTTACAGTGTATACGGGCAGGCACGTTACATAAGATGGCACCTTCTCAGTCAAACATATTTTCCTGGCATTGTGTGATGCCCAGAAAAAGCAGGAGCTCCTTTAAAGGCTCCTCCTTTAGAGGAGCCGAGGTGGCGCAGTGGTTAGGGTGCAGTACTGCAGGCCACTTCAGCTGACTGTTATCTGCAGTTCAGCGGTTCNGGCGTCCACCACATGAACACGCTCAGCACACGTGCACAGCACGCGCATGCATACTTACCACCCGCCACGCTCCGCGATGCCTCCACGACGCTCCAGCTGCTTGGCAAAGTGTCACACAGGCACCATACGCTCTGTGCAGGTGTGCGGAAGCCCTGAACAGCTCAAATACAGGTAAGGAACGCAGGCGGGTGGGCAGGTCCTCTGGAGCACCGTACCAGAATGGTACCTGGTGCTCCCGGCAGGCACCAGTAAACCTGTACCGGGGCGATCAGGTGGTTACCCACCACTGCAGCAGCAGCATGCACTATTGATGATAAAAGAGAGCTTACAGGGAATCTTCATTTAATGACTACTTATTCAGTGACTATTTGAAGTTACAATGACAATGAAGAAGGGTATTTATGACTGGTCCATGGTTGTCATAGCACTCCCCATGACTAAGGCACTTAGCAAATGAGTCACAGTTACAACAGCCATAGCATCTCAAAGTCATGATAGCCATTTGTGACCTTCATTGTTGTCTTCCAACAAAGTCAATGGGGAAGCTGGCAGGAGGTCACAGTGATGATATGAAGCATGTTTAATGAGCACAACTAGAATGGCTACAATTGCCATTGTAAGTCAGCCTATTGATGCTGCATATTACAATTGTGTTGCTTAGTAGTTAGTCTTGGTTATATCATTAAGCCAGGACACTCTGTTCTTGTAATGAACTTAAAAACGAATCATCAAACTAAATCTTCCAACTAGCAGAGCCTATATGCAGCGGTGATTCTGCAGCTCACTCATAAGCAAACCTGAATTAGTTAAAATATTCAATACTGCCTAATATTCAGATCAAGATGATGTTCAGGGTTGTCTGAGTTTGTAGCGCTGTGTCCTCCCCACAGTAAACGGTTTGTGAGTTTACTGAATTTCTGAACATTGAACAAGTAATTTCATTCATCCACTAAGAACTGGAGATCCCAAATTCAAAGAGGTCCAGAAGAAAAAAGAACTGAATTCATTTATACTTTGCTTCATGGGAAGCAAAGGATGCAGTCTATCCCATCATTTCCAGTGGTGCATGGAATCACTGTTGCTTTGCTGGCATTTAGCTTTGCTCAGTAATGATACATCAGTGCTTAGTAGGATCAGAGGTACCAGTTTGTTTTTAGAGGTTTAGAGGTTTTATTTGCATTTGTAGGCCGCCCTTTTCCCTGAGGGGACTCAGGGCGGCTCAC